CTTCTCCTGTTACTAATAATCTTGAAAACACAAATGAAGAGACAGATGAAAAACTAGGTGAAGAACTAGGTAAAGAACTTCAACAGCAAATTGATGCACTACGTATTCATACTCCAATGTCAATCAAAAACTGGTTAAATCCTGAAGATGAACAAGAGGTACATCAGCAATTTGCTAATGAAGACTTCGTTCAAGATGCTATAGAAATAGAGCAAGGAGAAGAGGAAAAAATCTTAGAACCAACCCTAACTGCAAAAGAAAAATTGAATGTTTTGCATGATGCCATGAAAATTGTTACTGAAATAGTTGACAATGGTAGAGTAACATTGAGGTCTTTTTGTAAAATACAATCTCATATTCGTGATGAGGTTTGAAGAGAAAAAGATGAAAATCAGGTCCAATGTACACTGGATCAATTTTTTTTTTAAGGTTTGTTCTCATAATATCAATAGTGTAAGAATAGCTAATTCATAAAACAATTAAAATATTAAAAAAAAAAAACTTTCCTTAAATTCTGTCAGCAAATATAGACAAATGCTCAACTTTCTTTATAACGAATTGATGACTCTTATAGTAAAAATTTTTAAAAGTTCTTTGTAGAGTAAATTACTATGTTTCTATACTAAGCTCTATAATAATTTTTCTAAAAAAGTTCATTATAGAGTAAGTGCATTATAAAAAATTCTGCTATTAAAAAGAAAAATTAAAGTCTCACTTACATAATTATAAATGGCCGGTTAGTAATAATCTTGCGTGTTTGAGACTTTCGTGTTTTTAATAAAATGCAACTGCTCTGACAAAGTAAAATGAATCAGTATGATCATTATAAGAATCAACTAGCACATAAGAGTTTGCCAAGGTGGCTTCCAAAAGTGCGGGTTAGATGATAAGATGCCACAACTACTGCATAATTTTTTAAAAAATGGTTGAAATTGTCTAGTCTCTGCATTCACTGGTTATTGAGAAGTGGTTATGTAATGATTCAAATCATGTGGCCTGCACTTTTGGGGGCCGTCCTGACGAACTCTAGCACATAAAATAACAAGATCTAGTCTCGCAAACTATCAACCCTTCGTAAATGCACCTCTTGAGACTATAGAAAAAAATTTTAAACGTGTGCATTTAGAGAGTGTATGCATTTATGGAGAGCGTTTTGCCTTTATAAAGGGAGCATTTATGGAGGGTTGACTGTAAAACGCTTAAACTCGTGAGGTAAAAAAAAATCGAAAATCAGTAAAGATAAAACTTGCAGCTTAAAAGTATTATTTTTGATATATTAATGCCTTGTATCTATTCATCGCATCAAAAATAATACCTTTTGTATATAGTAGTTACATGATGTTCACATGATATTACTTATTACAAACCCGATATCTCGATTTTTAAATTATCAATTATCGAAAATCGCAGGTTATCAGTTTTGAATTATAGAACGGCTATAGTGGAATTACTTTGTGCTGATTCTGAGAGGTTATCGATTTTGACGGGATCGGTTTTGACAGGGTGGACTGTATATGTGTTATTATAATATTCAGTCAATATATCTGATAGCTTGTTCAAAAGGATCTTTTGAACATTTTTAGGACCCAATAGTTCTTCTGGAAAAGGTTCAAAACCAGTTCTTGAGCTTTCTTTGATGTTTCTAGATATTGATAGAAACTCATGGTGGTTATTTCTATTTTGTATAGAAAGACTACCTTTTGTAGTTCTTTGCTTAATAAACTGTAAATACATATAGAAATGACCTTTTGCTTGTTTTGTAAGTTCCTCTAATAGTAAATAAGATTGTATAGTTTTAAATAATTCAATTTCAATTTTTATTACTATTATGAAATGAACCTATTAACATATAAATATTTTTTTATAAGCTATCAGCATTTTAATATAGCAATTAATAAATTTTATAAGTGTCAAACTTACCTAATAAACTATTCATTCTTTCATAACTAAAATACCAGAATGTATACATTGGTCTGTAGTCATTAATATATTCACAAATATGTAAACATAAATGTAAATTGGGTGTTATTTTTTTAGGACCATATTTCTTTTCAATAAGCTTCACTATATTTAAAAAATACTGATGAGCTTCTTCTAACTTGTCTTTAAATAAAAGTTGGCATACCAAAATTGAACATACTCTAACAAAATAGGTTAAAATTCTTTGGTCATCCTCTTTCAGTAAATCTCAAGTAATTGAAGTTGCATATATTAATATAAACGTCTTCTATTGGTCTGCTGTGAAACCAGAAAAACCATCTTCCATTGCAATCTTGTTAGGGATTCTACCAAGATCTGATGAAAATTATATTTTTTTTGCCTGTTGTTCTATTAGTGTTAAATCTTGAGAAGATAAAATACCTTCTTCAATCCATAGTTTCATAATCCATTTAGCAATACCTAAAAATAGGCAATGCATTAGATCTATTATGGTAAACCAGGAAGAGTTAAAGTATGGAAGACAGTATATTTTAGACTATCAGACAGACGTTTCAGAAGTATATTTTTTCTGTGCATCTTCTGTACAGCAATTCTTTCATGAAATTGCATCTTGGCGAATTATATCGATATTTCTCTCAACAAACCATTTACTCATATCTGCAAATCTACCAAAGTTTAGCTGATTTCTGTCGTCAAAATTAGCTCTCTTCATATATCTGTAACAAGCAATTCGAGCTGATATAAAGCCACACAATTTTCTTGCAGCAAGTATATCGCAAGAACAACAAATTACTACAACTCTGATGAATTTACCAGTAGAGCTTTTGAAAGTTCTTTCTAGTTTGATCTCTAATCATGTGATAATTAATATATAAATAAAAAAAAATAATTAAGCAAATATCACAATCGCTTATACTTACCATCCTACAAACCAATCAATTGATCTATTATAGACGCTAGATAATAATTTATTTGATATAATTTAGATTCATTTGGACCCAGTATTAATGCTAAAGTTAATATATTTGATGGCTTGAATCGCTCATCCCATAGAAGGTTGCAAATTACACTATAAATTGCACCGATACTATATTGGAAGTTATAGAATGGTTAAAACCAATCAAGGTTAATCATTAAGCCCAAATAACTACCTAATAGCTCTTTACAGAAGAATGGTAAATCTTCTTCTGGATCTTGAAAAGTTTTTCAGATTCTTCTATCATATATATCAGTTAGTTGTTCAGGGTCATCACATCTATTGGCCCATTTTCTACAAGATTCTTCAAATTCTTTCTTATTGAACAACAACTACAATTGGTGACTTAAGAAAGCTATCAGATAAATTGATGATGGTTTGTATATATCACCTTTTGATGTTGAAATTTTTTTAATAATTGGATAATTGCAAAAAAATTATTGATTGGCTATCAGGTGGTTAGAAAATTTCTAATTAATACAATAACTTATTTCAGGGACTGAATTTGGTTTGTTAGAAGACAGGTCAATAACATTATACAATTTACAACATTTTTCACATGTTGCATATTTTATCATGTGAGTACAGACACCAAGAGCATTGCACGCTTTACTCAACGATGTAGGGAAAAGAGAACATGTATTTGCATCAAAATAATTTAGAAGATACTGAATTAGTTTCATAAATGAATTAGAAGCCATATCGGACAACTGATATCTTTTCTGATATTTAAGAATCCATAGAGTGACCCATATAAAATTATTATTGACATCTATAGATTCTTTTTGATTAATATTTTAAATATTATTGTCGATGTATTAAAATCTATCTCTTGATCAGATAGATCTTCATCTTCATCAGAAGAAATTTCACTAGAATTTTTAACTTCTTCTGAAAATAAAATATCAGCAATTTCAATAGATAATGCAGTACTGATCCTTCCCCACCACCAATTAGTTTTTTGCCTTGTTTTTTAGTAATGAAACTATAATTCTCAAAGTATATAGATATTACAAAATCATTATCAGAACTATTGACCAGCATAGAGTTCACCAAAATATTAAGTTCAGAAAAGTCTATTTTGGAAAGATCTATAATAACGTTTGGATCAGTAATAGCATTTGCTCTGCTTGTTAAAGGTTCAACAATATTATTAATATTCCTTGTTATAGTATTTCTTGGCCTTGTATAGGCTTTTTTGGTTCTTGGGTCAATGAGACAGCCTTTGCAATTATTATAATAACAAGATACAGGGTGACAAGTATCTGAATACTTTTGGTAGTTAGATTTTTCAATTGTTTTTTTAACAATCGAACTTTTTTTTTTGTAGCCCATGATAGATATAAATGATAAAAAAATATATGGACCGGAAAAAATATATGAGTGAAGGATATAGGCATGAATGAATATATATGAAACGAAATATGGATAAACGACAAATGAAATAATATATGAATAAAAGATATAAGCAAGAAACAAAGAGAAATAGATGGTAGAGAATAATGAAAGAGAAAATAGATCCCGTTTTAATAAAAGTAAGCTTTATTTATAT